ATTGAAGGCTCTGTCAGTTTCTGTATTTGCATCTAACATTATCATAAATCAGCCTTAATTCAAGATGGTTTTGCTCCATTTAAAAAATAAATAAATATTAATATATATATATTATATATATATATATACCTACTGATAAATTAATTAAAGATGAAGTGATTTTACAAAAAATCGGTCAAGTCTGTCAAAAAAGGTTGTCCAAAGCCATTTGTGGATTGAGGGAGATGAGCAGTTGTAATTCAAATCAATGGTAGCAGTAGACTTGAAGTTTTGAAAAAGCAAGAGGCTCACGAACTGAACTGCCAGTGCTCAAGGTGCATTGTGGGTAATGCATGTGCCTGGTTCTGCTGAATCGTTTTTTTGTCCAACAGTGTTATAAGACTTCAATGCTAAATCAGTGCAGCACCCTTTTTAATAGGTCTCGCTGTGAACACCATAAACACAGCACCATGTTTTCAGTGATTGATAGCTCTTATTTAATCTGTACTTTTTTGTTAAAATTGACACCACATTTCCCATAAACCCTTCTGCTTTCTGTCACAAGGAAAGTTTGGAATACATCCCTCTTATCTCTCTTCCATATGTACTTGTTTTTTTAGAGAAATAATGAGGATAACAGCACTCTACTTACCCCATATTGTTAGAGACCATGTGAAATTCAGCCCCTTTAGCAGTAACACAACCTGTCGTGTGCAGTAAAGTTGTGGTTTGCACAATGGGAGCCATGGATAAGATAAGAAAGAATAAGAAGATGAAATAAATGTTTTCCTGATTATAGTTTTATTTATTTTTAGGATTCTAATGAAATTATGAAATAACAGCATATGTTCTGATAGTAAAGTTTCATTTTAAGGTGTCTGGATTCAGAAAGGTTTGCACAGTGCAGAAAAGTTAATCTGGGTTGTTGTTTTTTTCTTATTGTAGTGCCAGATGTGATAATAAAATGGATGATCATTATTTGTTGATAATTTGGTGGTGCATGCAAGAATACTATCAGAAATAAAGAAAAGGTGAAACGAAGGATGTCTGTTTTGCTGAAACGCATATGGATGAAAATTCGGCAATAAAATGGTAAATTGAAGCCACAGAAGTTGCTTTCCTCATTTACAGGGACATAAATGGAGAAGGAAAAACACAGGAAAATGCATGGGCAGGCAAACAGAAATGCAGTAGAACAGGGGAAAAAAGTGCGGAAATGTGCGTCGGAACAAAACTTTCAGTTCTCCTGCCTGACGCTGGCAGACACCACCAAGGTTTCCTTCACCTGTCTGGTGATACCCAGTCATTTCTTTTGCCCATATACCTACACTCTGACTCTCCACCTCATGAAATCAGAAGAATCTCCATCTGTAGAACACATGCTCCTCTTAAAGAGAACAAGGCTTTATTTGTCTTATACCATTTTCTCACACTTTCACCTCTCTGGCTTTTGTTCTCTGTTCTCCGTCTTCCCCATACCACTGCAGCTCCCTTTCTTTCTTCCTTCTTTGTGAGTTGCAGGAAAAGTGGAATAGTGTCTCATTGTTTCACCACAGCTGAGATAGAAGAAGTGAGTAATGGATGGAGAAATCGAAAGGTCAGCTGTGGGAAAGTGGACGGTGAAAGATTGAAACAGACAGGACATGCATATGACAGCATTTCGTTTTTCTTGATCTGTGTATGATCTCCTAATGTCGAGTATTTCTTTTCATTCTTTCCATTTCTTTTACTGAATTTTAGTTGTCAAGTTAACAGTAATCCTGGGTATTAGATATTCTCCTGTTTGCCAGGGTTCAATGTTTGGCCTCCACAGTTTGACACTTCCTCCTGTTGTATCCCAGCCTGAAGCTCTTTAGCTCCATCCATCACTCACATTCTCCTATTCAGACTAGAGGAGGAAAGGGGAGTGATGTAGTCATCAAGAATGAGCTCTCTCTGTTCCAGCACCTTGTCATCGGCACCTTCTCATTACATGCCTCAGACTCGTAAAAAACCTTCAAACAAGCTAATGCTGTTGCTTGCTAAGAGCCAGGGTTTTAATGCACTTCAAGGTCAATTGCTGCAAATGCACACACATTTTGATAAATGACATTTTCCCACTGAAACATAAAAAATGTTTGATTCTTTCAAATGTTTTTCATGTTCTCCCCCCCCCAACCTGATCCTGTATTTCTGTTTTCTTTCCAACGCACGCTAATGAATTTTTGGATTGCTGTGCTCAGTTTGCAGGTTCCAAGACCATCCGTGTGCTTTGCTCCTTCCAGCTTTGTTCTTATAAAGCTTTTATGTAATTAAAATTGCCGTTTCTCACGCATGCATTAGATGAGACTAGTGAAAAAGAGCAAGGAGAGACCTGCGGTAGTTAAGTATGTGGCTAACGGAGTCAATGTTGGTTACTTTGAAAAGGCCTGGCTGCAACAAATCCGGTCTGTCAGAGTGAGTGGACCACTTCAGCATGAGAACACCCACTCTGTCAGTCAGCATGAGTGCATGCACACACACAGTTTACACTTATGCATATACATGCAGGTCCTCACACTGGGAATGTTTTTCCTCCCTCCCCCCTGTTTCTCCCCCCTCTGCCTGTCTCCCATTGATTGACATGTGCACTCATTCAGCTCAGCACAAACTCAGGCACCATGGTTACAGCTGCAGCGATGTTCTATCCCAGGGAGATAGACAATATTGAAATAGCGACTCCCTTAGCAGCAAACTATACACACACACACACACACACACACACACACACACACACACACACACACACAAATACACATTCATGTGTCTCCATGAGAGGACATTACATTAAGCTACATTGATTTCCTGAAGATTTACTCAAACCTTAACCATACTTACTACTTGCCTCACCCTAAACTTAACTGTAGCCTAACCCAACCTAACATAAAACATGTCTTCACCTTAAAATTTGATTTGCATTATAGAAACTTGCTTTTTGAGCCTATAAGTAAGACAAGTCCCCAAAATGTGATGTGTAAATTGATTTAAGTCCCCACAACATATGTAATACCTGGACCAGCAGGACTACACACACATCTAAAACTACTGCCTTCTTTTCCGACATACATGTCACCTTAAAATTTGATTATTTAGAGCAAAAATATGAGGACTTGCTGCTTTGTCAATGCCTTCAGCCTCCCGTCTGTCGTGTCTGGTGGATTTTGCCATGTTAAGGGAAACTACTGAAGCTGGCTGCATGACAAGAAGCCTCACAGGTGTGTGTGCTCTGCCAACTCCGGACCTTGACTCTGCCCATGCGGCCTGCCCTGGTGTTTCTCTTGGAAAAGCCGTTGACGTGTGGCAGAAAGCCGTGTGGGTCAAGGACTTGGGGCAGTGGCAAATTATTGGCACAGAATCAGCATCTGCCAAAGCAGAAGGCGCTACTGTAGCTAGTTAGTCAGGCAAGTATTAGCCTCTCTAGGCCTGGCATCACACCCTGACATTCCCTGAAGTTGAGAGCAATAAAATAATCTTATGTGAGATGGAACTAGAAGCTAAAATGAGGTATAATGTCATTACTGGGGCAGCAGGGGAGCTTCTGGGATTGGGAAGTCTGGTGTTGAGATATGAGCTGGGAGAAGCAGGAAAATCTTTTTTTTTGTTCAGGAATGAAACAGGTTTGATGAAAACCCATTCCTGGATTATGCACCTCTGGCAGGGCGACAAAGTAGCACTGAGCATAGCAATAAAAACATGCAGGATGAAGTATGTGAAAAGGTCATACAAAGTTCTTAGTTGGAGGAAGGGCTCAGGATCCGGTGCTGGGAATGATGTAGAGGATGGAGACTCTTGAGTGAAAGTGGAGAAAGACAAAAGTTAAGAGCAGAAAGGGGATAATGAGAGTTATATATGGTGTTAGCTCATCAGTTGTCACTTTGCATTATAAGAATAAACACTAAAAGCTGAAAGCCTCACAAGACTGGTTCTCAAACACAGTGACCTCAGAGAGACGGAGTCACAAGGCTGAGCTTAGTGCTTGGTTGTGATTATCCCAGCGTAAAGGTTACCTGGAGTTGAAGCCTTCGATATGCACAGTATGGGCATTTATGATTGCGTGAATATAACTTAATTGTGTGAATTACAACCCAGCCTTTTGACATCTGCTTCAATCAGTCTTGCAGCTGTATCGGCCTTAAGCTGCTCCACAAATCATCGGGGCCAGGATGCTGACGTTCTCCCTGCAGTATTTTCCAATGCGCTAGTCAGGTTTCTTGGTAATTAGGATCATAGGCAAGGATCAGTCTGGTGTGGTTTGAGGACATGATGAGCCGAGTCACTTGTCCGAATCAAGCAAACTCAAATTGTCTAACTGGGTGCAATGGAGATCTGTGTGAAATGTAGAATAGCATAGCAAAGAAATGAAAAGAAAGAAAAACACATTTCCCCCTCAAACACACCTCTGGTTCTTAAAAGAGAGCTTAACAGTGATTGACAACTTGGACCCGGTTGCCAGGCCAGTCAGAAGTGGCGTGGGATTGTAGAGGGCGGGAGCTGCAAGGTTAACCCCCCGTGTCTCGGACAGCTGTGTAGTCGTTGGACTGGCTGGCGGCTGCACGCTGTAAATTCTCTCTAAAGAGGGTTTACTTTTGATTTTAATGGGCGCCATAAATTTAAGGCACCCTGGTCCTGGTGAAAGAGAGAGAAGGCTTATTTTCAAATGGTCCCTCTCTCTTTCTGTCTCTCTTTCTCCCCCCATTTTCTCCCTCATTCAGAACAGTCTGAGGAGTGTTGCCATGTCTTCTGTGGTCTGGTTTCACCTGTAGTCAGCCTGTATAGAAAGTGTATGAAAATATCCTGAAGAAACTTTAATTTCTCCAACACTCAGCAAAACTGCTTCATTGTATATTTAGGTCATATTAGATTTTTAAAAGGAGAAGCACAGCTTGCACAATTTCTTCCATCAAAGCAAATTCTTCTTTGGCACATAGCGGAGAAAATTGAGTTTGCGGATGCTCAAACTAACAGCTCCTCTCCTGACTTTTCGTCTCTTTCTCTCCCTGCAGGTGCTGTTTGCTTTGAACCAGACTCTGCTGCAGCACGAGGGCGTTCGAGCAGGAAGCCTGCAGGGCTCCTTCACCACTGAGGATCTCATAACACACTACAACTGTGGTGACCTCAGCTCCATCATCTTCAACCACGACACCTCACAGGTGGGTCTCCCGTTTAGATTTTAAATCACCTAACTTTTTAAAGATGTGGAGATTTCCATTAAACAAAGAGATTTGGGGCTGGAGATACAATGTGGAATTATCTGTCAAAGATTGATGTGTAGAGCTTGCATGACTGCAGTCAGGTGAGCAGATGAGGAACAGGTTTGCAGGAAAACTGGCAGGAGACGTTAAACAAAAGACTTCTATACTGAACTACTATACATGGGAATTGCTGATTCTTCTAAAATTCAACTGTTGCGTCCCCAAGAGGTCTAGGGAATGAGGGACGAGCAATAAAAAATTAACCAGGGGAAAAAAACAAGTGACCAGCAGAATGCGTTCAAGGAAAATCAAGTATTTTATTAAGACGTAAAATCTGCACAAAACGCTCATCACAGAACTGAAGAGGGAATAAGCCAACAAGGAACAATCAACTGAAAACAATCTCCAACAAACTGAAGGGTTTAGGGTTTGCTCAGGGTTTTCTGCCTCTCCCTGATTCCGGAATGGCTTCAGCTGTGCCAGTGAAAGAGCTGGCAAGAGCACAGGTTCAGGTTGACTCTCATTCATAAAACAAATAAAGACTTGTATAACACGTAAGACAAATTTGTGCATAAATATCACGGATGAATCAAAAACACTCTCCCAGTTACAAACTTATTTTACTCATCGCTTTCTTCAACCAAGGACAGAAAATGTCTTGAATCTGATTTCTTTACTTGACCATAATATTTAAATATCTTTTACAGAACAATATTCACATAAATAAAACAGCTAATAGCAGCTTCTGTCCAAAGAACATCTGTAATGGTGTTCAAGAACCCAAATCTGTCAGACCCTCAATTTGAGTTGGCACACGCCTTGTACCCGCTTCTGCCATTACGCTATCGTCACCTCAAAGTTTTAGGCTCACACATCAGTTCTACAAAACTGTATATTACCATATTAATCCCTCTCAACCTCAAGTTACTTGATAGTCTGACACTTTAATAGCTCTGGACTTAATACACCATATGTCCCCCTCTAACTTTGTGTTTCCTAACATAGCCTCTGCTGCTTCTGTGATGGCCTGCTCATCCGTCTTCACACCCAGCTCTGCTGTCGAAAGGTCATTCAATATATAGTATAAACACTCACGCGGTAAAGGCATAACTCGCTGTATCCCCACCCTCGAATATTAAGTCCCTTGCTGACCTTCGCTGTGTCAAACATTCCTTGCTGATCCTGAAGTGCCATTAAAGGTAGCACGCCTTATAATATCAACTCACCGCTCAACTGTAGATCCCATTGATACACACAGTAATACAAGTGAACAGCGCAATGGTCAGACAGTTCAAAAGTCATCGTGGCTCTATTGTTAAGTATCAACATTGGACACATATTTCCCTTTTCTCTCTCTCTCTTCAACTGTGTCCGTCCATTTCTTACTCCCTGGGGACCATGAGCTTGTTACCCATAGTTTAACTTGCAGTCACGGCTGCATAATTTCTTTGAATAATACCGATTTGCCGCTGCTCCTCATGACAACAACATGTATTAACATCCCCAGCACATATAAAGCAATCAGATGTCAGACTCTGGTGCCTACTGCTGTGGCCTGGTAATCTATTGTAATAGGTTTGTGTGTGTGAGAGAAAGAGGGAGGTTTCACGGCCATGAAAGAGCAGGTGGTTTTTGATAGATAGGATCTAATCCATGGTCCTTCCTCAACCCTGGTTGCTCCCTCATCTCCATCTTCATCATATTAGACCAGGGTCTATGATGGGCCCCAGAACACAACCCGGCGGAATTGTGCAAGACAGGTTAATATATTTCAACACTCATCTGGTCCCAAATGCATCTTGGACACAACATCAAAATGAAACAGAAGAAAGAAGATGGATAGAAAAGAAAGAAAGTAAAAGCAATCATTTGATATAAAATATAAGAAAAAAAACTGTAAAGAAAAGTTACCTACAAACATTTTGGCAGTGTACTTGACATGGCTTGCACAATATTTAAAAGCAAATTTGTAAAAGTTAAGCTCAGGACTGTATTATTCTGATGATTGACTGTTCCCACAGTTCTCACATGTAGTAAATCCTTGGTGTTTCTATGGTTAGATGCTAAGGAAAAGGAAGGAAATGGAAATAAAATAGAACATGTAATTGCAAAAGAAAAGGGGAGTAGGAAAAGGAAAGAAGGTAAGAAAAAAAGAAGAAGTTAAAGCAGCCAAATCAGAGAGAAAGAATAGAAGATTTCTGGCGATTAAGTAAACAAGTGCAAAGAGGTAGTAAGGGAGGAAATATCTTGCTGTCATTCCACATTTCCTGTGCAGGTTGGGATAGAGAGCAGCTTATGGGCTTTCCTGTGATAACTTATCTACATTTACCGCTACACTCCGACCTTGACCCCTCTGCGACCTAACTCTTTTTTCTTCCCGTCACAAAACACTTGTGCGCTCCTCACTCATCAAAGCAGTGATGCAGCACTCCTTCCTCACCTCTTGCACTCTTTAACTCATATTGAGGATGAAGGTCTGTCAATTTGGACTAAGCTGCAGAAGAAACACAGACAATGCAAGGCTTCAGGCTGCAGATATCTACGTGCATCTGGCTCTTTTCCCACACAGTTGCTGCATTTAGAAGCAGTTCAGTGAGATGTAATCTGCTTTATAATCATAAACCATTAGGAGCTCAGGTGCTGAAATTAACAGCTATTAACCTGTTACCAATACATTACCAAATGTAAGTAAAGATTAATTGTGACAGGAACCATCTAAAATCTGGATTCTTTCTCTCAGGTTTACATTTTTACTTTGTGTCATAATTTGTGTTGTTCAAATAATTTCTAATAATATATATGTAATTTAAATGACTATAGATTACATTTGGTTCATGAATAAAGAAGCACAAGTTAATGCTCACACAGTAGATCCACACACATCATTTTAAATTAAGACCAGAACATCCTAAACACAGAAAAAAAGACATCCAAAAACTAGAATGGCACCTATTACATATATTACCTCAGTCAACACACTACATATCGAAGCCAATATGTGGTTTTTCATCAGCATTATTTCTTGACTAATTCACAAAAATGTTGAAATAGCCCTTTCCCACAATGTTCAAGAAAGTGAAAAGAAATTCCTGGATCAGCCCCTTAATTGAATCTGCTCCAATAGTTAATGGATTCTTCCCTGGCTCATGCCCAGCTTCCTCTAAGTTTTAATGAAAAATCGGTTCAGTTGTTATGGTGTAATCCTGCTAACAGACAAACAGCAATGAAGTCATAACCTCGGCGGTGGAGCTAATTATGTATTTCAGGCCACAATGCATTTTTATAGGAAACATGACAAAGTCGACAACTGAACCATCCCCTAGCTGGGTTAACCAATCCCACAACTACAGTATATTTCCTGGCTAAATGTCACCATCTTGCCCACTAATATTATCTAACTGAATCTAATGTGAGGGTAAAAGTGCCTGCCAGCTAATAAACATTGAACCCAACACTGTCAAGTCAAAATCGAAGCAGCAAAACCACAGATAGTGTCTCAAATTATTCAAATCATTTTCCCTTTTGAAAACAGCACCTACATTACCCATAAGGCCACTCAACTGCCAGATGTTTCCTTTCATTCACCTGACATTAGAGTTTGCCTTTTGTCCACATCACAAACGACAGAGCTAAACATCCAGAGTAGGTTTAAATCAGAACATTCAAACCACCATGTGAGTCGGACAGCAGGACGAGCGCTGCAGGGAACAAAATGTGTCAGATACAGATTGTGGATAACTTCTGGAGAGCAGCACCTTGTTCACATGTGGTACAATAAATCCCCCCATTTACTGAGCATCCAGATACCTCACACATATACTGATTTATGCACCGTTTACAGCTGTTTTACTGTTGTGTCAACGCGTAACTGTTCTTGTCACGCTCAGACACAATTCCAGATTAAACACGTATTGAACATTTGCCGCACACATTAGGAAACAAACTAAAAAACGTTTTTCCGAACTCCATCATTTCATTTTTTCTAACTCTGGAGGCAGGCTGGGTGTCCTCAGGTTGGCGGTGTCCTCTTGGTTGGACAAAAAAGACAAACAAAGGAAGCTAACATGCCAGGACAGAAGCAGGGATGCTAGTGAGGTGGGGTTTTTTCCAAACTGGGTGCGACCAAAGACATGGGAACAAATGCAGGAGACCAGAGTTGAGCTTTAGTAGTTAAATAAAACAACCAAAGGACAAGACTTACTGGAAGGTGAGACAGGCCAAAGTCCAAAACCAGCAAGCAAGCAGTCCAAACAAGCAAAAGAGTCGGGGGCAGGCAGAGGTTCACAGTCCAGATAACGGCTAAAATGTTCAAATAAAGGTGAAAGCAGTCCGACGTGCTATCAGCCATCAGACAAATACACTGACATTGCCATCCTCGGGCCCTGTAGCTTAGTCGACTGAAAAGGGGCTAATGGGCTACAACTTTCAAATAAGAAAAAAGTTCAACACTTCATAAAATGTGGAAAATTATTTTGGCACCACAAACCAAAGTGCGCTAGTTAAGAACAGACTCGTTTATTACAGCAGCTAAAACATCAAGAACTGGGGGAACATGCAGATTGTTTAAATGGGATTTTTACCGTCCTCCAATAATTCATATTTTACTGCATATACATCAAGAGAAAGAGCCAAAAATGTTAAATACATGTACACTGATACTTTAAGAGGAAATTACATTTCTGTTAGAGAAAGAGACAGATGTGTGTTTTGGTGTGTTCCTGAGTTAAAAAGCCAAGACCTTGATGTAAAACCCCTGCTACCACACAGTGGACCCCCACTCTACCTCACAGATTAACAGCCTGTTGAATCGACTGATGCAGCCAAGAGGGGAACAGAGCCAGTGTGGCCTCTCTGCACTGTCTGACTCTTAATAATTCAAACAGCAATTAAACACACAGTTAAACACACACACACATTCATGAATATACACGTGCATGTGGATTTGCCTTCACACATATAAACAGTTGTGCAGTCATTGTGTGGGTGAATGTGGCTGCACTATGCAAAGCGCTTTGTGTGGTTAATGAGACGAGAACATTTCTTAACTACAGTCCATTTACAATCAAAATACCAGTCTGTTGAGCTGACATTTGCATTTGTCATTTACTGTCAAGCCTGGATTCCAGGTCTCACGCCCACTCAAGCACATTCATGTGCTAGGTTGTCAACACCCCAATTCAGTCCTCTTCTTTTTTCCATTTCATTTTCTTCGAATGCTTTCTTTTTGTGTGTTGTAGGCCTAAGTTATTATCTTTCACCACAAAGGTTTTTAAATTCTAATATTCTATATCTTTCTCTCTCTCAGCTGCCCCACTTCATCAACAGCTCTCTGCCTGCTCATGACCGCACGACAGCCCAGCAGATCGACAGCTACTTCCGCCAGGAGCTCATCTACAAACGCAACGAGCGAATGGCTCGCCGTGTGTCAGCGCTGCTGCAGAGGAACCCCGACAAGACGTACTTTTTTGCTTTTGGTGCAGGTAAGGGAGTCTGAAATCCTGCAAAAGTAATGTTGTAGATTCTGATAGCTGACCTTTGACCCTCTGGTTTGAAAATGGTTCCCTTACTCCAGTCCACTAGACTGTATAAAAAGATGGACATGACAGTTCCGCAAAAGCAAAGACAAAGTGTTTTGATCACCACCTGGTGGCTAGCTACAGTATAGGTTATAGACCCCACCTCATCCATGTTAATGGATTGGCCTTGGACCAAAATAAAAAATCATTCATATGGCAAATACATTTTTCTTAATAATGGATTCTGTCATTTCAGGTTTAGTTCTTATCACACTGTTAGCCTATGTTACATGTGTTGTTGGTATTTTTATCTTTAATTAATTATTAAGGAAAAACATCATGATTGACAGCTGAGAATATCAATCCTGAGACTGGCAATAAGTTGAACGGGTGTGTTGGAAAGACCTCGCTACAGCATCTTCATCCCTGATCAATACTGCACAGACTCACAGACAAAATGTGTAAACAGCCTTGGTATATCAGGGATATTTTGGCTTCAATTCTTGATAGCAGGAGAAAGTGGAAACACGTCGTCTATCTTTTTACAGCTACTCTGGCCTGTTTCTCCATGATGCATTAAACTAGGTCTTTTCAAACACATACGGATTGGAGCTGAGACTGTGTGTTTGCATGTTTTTCGTTGTAATTCTGTCAGGACTAATGTGTGTTTATAGTGAACAATTTGCTCACTCTTGTGTTTTAAAGCAAAACTGGAGAAAAAGCAGGACAATAATAGTGCACAATGGTTCCCAGATCTCTGGCATGAAAGAAAACACACACATACACACATATACACACACACACACACACACAAATACACACACACACAAACACACACAAACATGCACAGAAGTCTCAATTACAGCCAGTTCCCACCTCAGAAATAAAGAAACCATGAGCTGTTTGTTTCAATTAGCATTCCTGGCTAATGCTGCTAATGTTTCCTGAACGGTGTAGTGTGTCCTGAGGGAACTGTGTGTGTGTATCAAAATATGCACACGTGCAAGTGTGTTTGCCCACAAAAACAGGTGGTGGGTGGGTGTCTGTGTGTCTGTTTACTGTACAACTGTGTGTCTGCAGTCTGTGCATCTGAAAATGGGTGGTACCGCCTCTAGGGTGCGTGTGTTTGAGTGTGTGGGAAGAGAGTGCACGCAAGTGAGTGTGCCACAGTGTATGATTAATGCCCAATGCCTGGTTCCTTCCTCTGACCATTTTTTTTCGCTGCCTCCTCTCTTTGTGCTTGGGATTTACAGATGTTATGATTGTATGAATTTGTGCAATAACACTTAAACAAATGGACGCTTCAGTAAAACGGACATAGGTGAAGCAATAAGGACTTTCTCCTGTTACACGCTGTGTTTATAGAACAGTGAAAAAAGGGAGAACCCCAGAAAGGCAATCCAATCCAACTCCTCAGGCTAAAAAAGGCTTTTTTTAGACAGAGTAAAAAACAGCCATGTTTCCTATTATACAATTGTTTTTTGCTTTTGTCAAAAACATATTGTAAATACAGTTACAAATACAATTAGTTTTAAGAGGTGCTAACTTTGTTATTATTATATTTTGCTATATTTAATTATTTGCAGGGCAGCATCTGTATGATTTGTTTCCAAATGAAGCCAAGTTAAAACTTTGATGCAGCGCTGTACTGGAAAATGAGAGCTCAGTCATCATGGGCATGGACTGTATTAATCCAGCTTCGGGATTTCTAGAATGCATCATCCAAACAGTTTCACGCTGGAAGCAACACTTCAGTGGGTGAGCACTATACCAGCCATGACAAAGTTGTGTCCTCTTACAATGCTGGAGAAAACTCATCATATGGCAGTGAATACCTCACACATTGTATTTCATTTTATAGCATTGATAAAGTCAAACCTATTCATTTAATGTTTAAGTACAAACCAGAGTGTTTACATAGCTCAATAGTGCGACTTCAGGTGATGTTGTTCCCCGGAGCTAACACTGCATCTGGAGTATGAGGAGTAGATCACCGTGATGGGAGATCTCCAAAACCCAACGCTGCTGCATATATCCTCCAGGTTTGGCTTTGCAACAAAAGCACAGTTGATCTTCTGGCATGTTCACATTTCCATCATAAAATATCTCAAATGTGAGCTGCCAACAGTCAAAGCGAACTACATAAAGGAAAAGAAAATGATGACATCATATTAATGCATACAGGAAAAGGCAAAGCAAACATCAGGTTTCTACATAATGGGAAATTAACCATAATTTTTGAGTTTGGTCACATAAATAAATGCATGTTGTTCTTAGATTAACTCCTGTCATGTCTTTGTGTATGCTCTGTAGATTGTGATGGTGCTGCTGTGGCCTTTCACCATTTTCTGTTAGTCCAAAAACCTTCACAGTCAATGTTGCATTTTTTCATGTCGTGAGCAACACACCCACCAAGTTTGAAGTCGACTGAATCAGCAGTTTATTGTCAAGAAAACGGAAATACAGATTCCTCCACTCATTGGTAGAATTTGAAGTGAACCAGCAATGACTGATTTAACATCATGAGACATTTCACCATTAAAATCTGTTCTCATGCAGCCTCATGTTCTCCATTCTGGCCTCCTTTAAACGTTTGCCCTTCACACAGCAGCTGTGTGTTTGCTTCGCTGTGTGTCCAACCTGGCCTGGATAGACGGGAGGTGAACATATGTGTCAGGTCACCTACAGGCTGCGGCCTCGTGTGAGAGGGAACTGACAGCGAGTGTGAAGTGATAGGAACCATTACAGTTATAGGCCCGCTGCATGCATAAACACATGCACACACACATGCTTATACCCCGATTCATACTTAATCATGCATGCAGTACTTGAGCACATACCAGTGGGGAGCTGTTAGGGGCCTCCACACCAGCACATCAGCATTTTAAATTGCCATCATTTAATCAGTATTCTCTGCTGATTCTAATTTCACATTTATTTTCATGTAACTCTTATTTTTTCTTTCAGATTTGTTGTAAAACCATGAAAATAGAGTCAATTCGTGATTTTTTGTTTTCATCTTTCCCAAACAAACAAAGTTTAGCTGGCTCACTCATTTGTTTAGTCAATGAGTGAGAGGTCCCATCTCTTAATGTAAATAAAGATTGACAAAGCTTCTCCACCTCCTTTCACTATGAAGCCAAATTATCCTGGATTCTAACGCTGCCAACTTGCACATTTGGAGCCAGAGTCTGGAATTTAACTAAAACTCTGTCTATAATCTAAAATACAGGTTATTTCTTAGAACAAATTTGTTCCTCCCGAACTGTTGTTGTGCTAGTTGGATTAACATCTGTCTAACATAATTTATCATGTTGCTTCCCATTAGTTTCTATACACCTGCAAAGACATACACATTAAATGAAGGCATGCACTTCATAAGTTACACTTAAATTGTGTCTCTGATTAAAAAAAAAGCAAGATGCTGTTCTGATTAATGCTACATGTCTCTAGATGCAGATTTATCAAAAACAAGACACTCAAGGATTAATAAATCAGGTTTAATGAAGTCTCTCACATGCTGTAATCACAGACTCTTTCCCCCTTCTCTTATTTCTGTCTTGAGGACGCTGACTCATGTCTTTACAGTCCTGTAACTGTCCCTACTGGTCCCAGTTTCTCATTGGTCATAACGAAGCATGAAATTTTATCATGCAGTGATGCCAGGTTGGATTAAGTGACGGACTGGACTCCCAGAAATCTGACTGTGTGCTCATTACTCGTCAAGGTTTTCTTTGCCTGCGTTGTAAAATGAGCGTGATTATAATCTAACAACAGTGCACACTTTGAGTAATGAAGAAGAATAAAACAGGACAGAAAGTGTGAGCGTTAAGACTATCCAGACATATTTTAAAGTAAATACAGCTCAGGGAGATGTATTACAGCCATTTCCAGGCCAAATGTGGGCGTATAATAATGTGATCATATAAAATACAATCTTTATGGTCAGATCTCACAAATCACATTAAAGTGACATGTGTGAGTGCAGGCAGTGGGCTCGTAGATATACCGCTTATTCTCATGAATTTTAAAATGGAATATGCATAATGTGGGACTGGGGAACTTTTTTGGATCCTTGCGCTGAGCCTGACAGAATCACAGTCGCTCTGTGACTGTAACCATCTGTGTGTGTGTGTCCTTTCATGTTTACGTCAGGTGGCTGTTTTTGTGTTTATCAGGTTGCATTACTTTCCACACAACAGATAAATATTAAAGGCCACTCAAGCTGCTTTGCTTTGGAGCCCTCATTTCCATTCTGAACCCTGTCCAGCGCGCAGAAGGAAAACAGGACTGTCGGGAAAGAGCCAGGGCAGCGATCAGGTCAAGGCCCTCAAGAGTTACCGACGTCATATTCCAATCCAGGAGTTTTTTCACAGGCTAATTAAACTATACGACGTGTGTATAAAGTGGTTCAGGCAGGAAATCCATCTCTGCTCAGCTCAGCACCTTACTTACCAGCCTCCCCCTTTCCTCTCAGTGCACACCTACACCTTCCTGAAGCATAAGTACTTTTATGTACTAAAATGTATGATTTTGTCCTCGCTAAAACCGTTTCATTCTCTTTTTCTCTGCCCCCTTTCTTTTCCTTCATCCTGCACATGTGCATGTACACACGTGTTGTTACAGAGTTTTTCCTTCACTTTCACCACAGGTTATTATTACGAATTACAGAGGTATAGGCTAAATGAGCTCCAGCAGGCATAATTTAATTACTCCAGACAGTATAAAAGAGACTGACTGAGCAGTATTACCCTCTCACAGGAGCTGGCTGCTGAGCGAACATTTCAAAGGTCTGCAGCAGCAACTCAGTCAACAGTCATATTCCAGTCAGTAATTCAGAATACATTCTGAGCAGTTGAATTATCAAGCACTGAGTTTATATTACTGTAAGTCTGCATTTCCTCATTAACTCCCAGATTTAGTACTTTTTAAAATGGCATTGTATCAAATGACTTAAGGGGTCA